GGTATTTTTGAGCTATAAAACCATCTGAATAAATATAAGGTAGAGCTGTTTAATGTCATACTGTGGAACATTCCAGGCAAAGCAATGGCATATCCATAGAAACAAGCAGGTGACAGACCCCCAACCAAAAAGTTACATAATGCACATTTAAAGCCATACCGTGGAACATTCCAGGCAAAGCAGTATCATCGCTATCGACAGTTTCTATGTTGACTAATGCGTTTTCATGATTCACTAGAAAACTGATCCACCCTGGGTTTGGACCAGAGTAAAGTTTTGGTTGATTTAATGATTCATGGTGAAATTGTCTATCTCTGCCCATCACTACCACTCGATTACTTGGCTAACCGCTATTACCTGAAGTTACGTCAAATCCAGCACTCCCTTACATACTCACAGATGGTGAAGCCAAACCCAAAGTTAACTGTCCTATACGACGCAAAATCGACTTTTATGCCTTCTTATATAAACTTTTTGATGACACTGTTACGTCATCAAAAACATAATTTCATTTCATTCATACGTTTAAGGAATCCTTTATTTTTAGTCTGTCTACATCTCCAGAGCTCAAAGTGCTCTGTTTCACCTTATCAAGTCATGTAGTCGCAGTTTTTCAAGTTAACAGCTTTTACCTTTAGTTCAGTAGAGATTGGCAATTCCAGGGCTGAAAATGTCCAAATGATTCTAATGAAGGTGTATGGAATTTAAAAACACAAATTTTGCTGGATCTGAGTGTTAAACATGTGTGAATTTTTATAATTATTTTATTGACTAATCTGGTCCAATGTTGCTGGTTCATTTGAATGTTGAAAAGAAAAAGAAATGGGCTACATTTGATGTCCAAATAGGCGACTTATGGATCCTTTTATTGCTGGTTCAATTACTGTTTGTCTTTGTTTAAAAATTGAGTAATACTAATTGTTCAAAGAGACATGATCACTCAGTCAACAATACAATATCCTCATTAATGTTCAATAATGGTCAAATCCACCTTTATTTTGTGATTTACAAATTATGTCTGTTGACTTGGGTTGTGAAGGTTTGTGACTTTTAAAATATGGCTCCCCAGAAAAAAAGTTTGGGAAACACTGCTTTAAAGTATATAACATGTTTAATTTATGATATCTGGTCTCCTCACGGTCACATGTAAAAGAGGACGTTTAGTGGGCACTATGTTTACCAGAACTACATAAATTCAGAAATCTCATCTGACAGTTGTTTAGCTGTTATCTTAAATGTCACTTTTACAGGCTAGTTATTATCTAAAATAAAATGTTTACACCGGGGATACCCAAACGTATTTCACAGAGTTGTACAGTTGTAAGGAGTATTATCTGTTACATAAGGGTGAGTTGTTGTATAGTTGTAGGGATTATTATCTGTCACATTTGGGTGAGTTGTTAAAGGAGTATTATCTATGACATATGGGTAAGTTGTTGTGGCAAGGTAGCTGATCATGTGGTCTCTACCATGTGACACAGGTGTCATAGACAGAGACTATATGACTATAAAGGTCAGAGGGGAGCCAGGTGACTTGCTCTTCCTGAGCAGGCCTAACACAGGGTTATTTCTGGTGAGCCAAACAAATGTTTGTTTGTATATATTAATCTTGTTAAAAAAACATATTTGTAATTTTTGTAAATATAATTTTAAGGGTTTTAAAAGTCCAGATCAGAGGTATGCTTTTAACTTTTATCTTATTGTTTAATTTTAATTTATGTATTTTGTTAACTGCACTGTGTCCACAGGCTCAGTGCTGGTTGCCGTTTTTTGTTTTTTTTTGTTTTTTAAATATGTTAATTATTGTCAATTTATCATAGCTCTGCACTGGGTGTAGGCTGGAGCTAGCTGGGTGTGGAGGGGGCTCACTTTAGAGGGTGACCTTATTGATGGTGGGGGCACTTGTAATCGGGTGTTTTCAGTTGTGGTAACAGTTTTCTTTGCATTAATCTTGCTTGTTTTTCACTTATAGCATGTCTCCTTCACCCCAGCTTTAGGGTGGAGCCTCACTGCTGCAGTGGCAACCTCATCTGTTAAAAGCAACCTTAACGTATTGTTTTGTAAATAAAAGCTGCCGGATGGCTGTTAGACCCACACACTGACTGGCTTGCTTTGTTATTAAAGCTACCTGTGGATTCTCCAAATGTAACACTTTGAGGATCCACATGATAGCTGCCATATGGCACCTGTGTCACATGGCACAGACCACATGATCAGCTACTTTGCCACATTGTTATACAGTCATAGGGACTATTATCTGTCACATAAGGGTAAGTTGTACAGTTGTAGGGAGTATTAGCTGTCACATAACGGTGAGTTGTTGTACAGTTGTATGGAATATGGTTTGAATGTCGTCTGTATCTCTCATTGTTTGAGTGGAGCTGTAGGAGCCAGTTGTAGAATGAGTTCCTCTGTCCCTTTATAGTCTGGTGCAGTGGGTGAGATGTTGTACAGTTGTAGGGAGTATTATCTTTCCCATTATAGTCTGGTGCACTGGGTGAGATGTTGTACAGTTGTAGGGAGTATTATCTGTCCCTCTATAGTCTGGTGCAGTGAGTGAGTTGTTGCACAGTTGTAGGGAGTATTATCTGTCCCTCTATAGTCTGGTGCAGTGGGTGAGTTGTTGTACAGTTGTAGGGAGTATTATCTGTCCCTCTATAGTCTGGTGCAGTGGGTGAGTTGTTGTACAGTTGTAGGGAGTATTATCTGTCCCTCTATAGTCTGGTGCAGTGGGAGAGCAGGAGTGTCCATGATGGAGAACAGTTGTCCAGTGTCCTCCTGTCCCTCACTGTGACAAATGTCTCCAGCTGGAAACACAAATTTGAGGTCAGTATCACAATGCAGTAAATAGTATTATGTTGTAGAGGTATAACTACTTAAATTAGCTATAAAAGTACTGCATATCATCATTTTACCCAACATATTCATAACTTAACTATTCATAACTGCGAGCTAATGCTAATGGCTATAGGAAAACACACAGGGGACTTGCTCCAGTTAGCTGAGTTGCTAAATGGGTCATAGCATTAGCTACAAATTAATCTAGTAATTATATCAATAACATTTGCCTTCAAGTAACCTTCAAGTAATCAGTATAGTAAGTATAGAAACTAAACTAAACTATAAGGACTAAACCAGGACTAAACCAGGGCTAAAGCAGGACAAACCAGAATGAAATCAGGATTAAACCAGAACTAAACCTGGATTAAACCAGGATTAAATCAGGACTAAACCAGTCCTAAACCAGGATAAAACCAGGACAAAACCAGGACTAAACTAGGACAAAACCAGGATTAAAGCGTAGACTGTATAGAGAAGTGGAGTGGGAGTGTGGCGTCACCCAAAACGTTCAGATCCAGTCAAAATAAATCTTGCGATGCTAGCAGTTATAAGAGCGAATTTGGAGCCAAGTTCTATATTAAGTATGAGTATTTATTAATGGACCAAACAGTGAAACAAAACCCCCAGAATCATGTAGAGTGGGTTAATACGAACATTTTAAGACCAAAATGACAAGACTCACAGCAGCATTTACACAGAGAAGGGCCTCAATATTCCAATGTAAATCAATGGGAGCCAGGATCAGAAGGAGCCAGAAGCACACCATGCTCACTTAATATTTGGAACGGGGTGGTTTGTGGGTTACCTATGTCCATTTATATATACAGTGGATTAAACCAGGACTAAACCAGGACAAGTGTGAACTAGTATTGCCATTATATTGCCATTATACTATATACTTTCAAACTCGATTTATGCGACCGGGACAAGACCAGGACCAGACCAGGACCTGTTTTAGTCCTATTTTAGTCCTAGTTTAGTCCTGGTTCAGTCGTATGCGGTGCAGAAGTACGGCATCACAGTTTTGGGTGTTATTTGTTTTTTCATTTTGGCTTTGGATACAAATAATGCAGAAAAAAAAAAATATATATATATACACACACACACACACACACACACTATATATATATATATATATATATATATATATATATATATATATATATATATATTTTTTTTTTTTTGAAAAACGAATGATACACAGATTCTTCATCTTCCCGCTTTCTGACTGGTCAACCTCTCCTCCTTCCCCTCCCCTCTCCTCCTCCCCCAGCTCTCTACAAGTGCAAATCAGTTTTGCCACATGCACATCGCAAAATGTGTTGCAAAAGTCAAGGCGTGCAGATTTGAACCTGCTGGGACACATCTGAGAAGTTGCAGTCGCTGAATTGTGGTTGTATCTGTCATAATGGATGCAGATGTCCCTCTGTTCATGCAAATAGCAATCTACACATTCATTCATATTTTTCTCCCGTGTCTAAAAATATTTTCCACAAGTGAAAATTTCAGTCGGCAAGTGCACACATTTTTTTCAAGCACTCATGTGTGTTTTTTTTTCACCGTGACTGCAAATTCAACACACACGTATATGAAAATAGTTAATTACAAGTTCAAAGTTTTGTTCTACACATTCTCACATTATATTCTACAAGTTCTCAAATCAAGTTTACACGCTCTCTCATTTTGCAACATATTTACCTTCCTAGAATAGACTCAATGCTCAATACCGATTTTGATACCACTCTTTCTTTAGACAATAGAATGTGATTTTCAGCATTAAATCGCAGTATTTTCTTCTCTTTTCCCATGTGGTTTTATATCTGTGTAATCCCTCAGTGGTCCAGGTAGGTTCTATAATGGTCCATGGGTGTGTACTAGTTTATGTGCTCTTATACTTGTTCTGATACAGCTCAAGAGCATTCCAAAGCTTTTCAAGAAAGCTTCATTTCTGTCCTGTGAATACAACCCCTTTTTGACATGGTTTAATTACTGGTTTTAGCATCTATTATTATCTGATTTTCTTTTGACAACCCAAGTGTGAAGAGAGTGTCCCATCACTCACGTCACATTTTAGTGCTTCGTTAAGGTTTATTTTTCAAAATTCTACCATCCCTTTGTAACTTTGACAGGCTCCTTGTGAATTAATCTTCCTTTGTTGCAGAGGAAACCGGAATATCGGGTTCATTAGAGTGGGAGGAGTCTCGCTGTCATTTAAGATCAGGCCAAACACGCCACACTCACTTTGGCAAACGGAATATTTTCCAGACACAACTGAAATACGAGGAAAGCTATAAGGTAATTAATTTTATATTCTCAAAAATATGAATTATATAGTAATAAAAACTAAACTCTAGTCAAGTTAAAATGACTTGAATTAAGTTTTTTTAATTAAGTAAATTTCACTTGAAAAGTAAAATGATCTGCCAGTGGTGATCTGCTACGTATAACATAAGAAAAACAACAACTTTTGCATTTAAAATAAGAAACAAAAAAACCCACACATGTTCCACTGGTAGATAATTTGGCTTGTCAAGTTGAATCTACTCCAGTAAAGTAAAATGTTGTTAATTTAAGTCATTTGAACTTACCTAGACATTGCTTTGTGCAGAAGAAACTACTGTCTTTACTACTTTTTTAAACAATAATTAGTCTACAGGAAAGAATGCAAATTTAAATCTGTTACATAAAAAATACTCAATTATTTAGTACAAAACTGAAAACAAATGAATATATAAATAAATAAATAATTTAGAATAATTATTTTAATCTAGTGACTGAAAAAACATTTAGATGAAGAAAAGACATGTGGCCATATTCAATCATGTTTTTTTTCATTCATGTTTTAAAGCGACAGTGTGCAACTTTTCAGCCAAAAATAGACAACAAAAAAAATGGCAATGTACATTTACTGGGACTTGTATTTCAGTGATTTTTTTTTTCTTCTAAACTGGTGCTAACAAAATGAAATGACATGGGCGATAAAAATAAATACACAAATACCTGGTTTTGGTTGTGTCAGCACAGTATGATGCTGCAGTTATGTAGACAATATCCACTGGACTCCTCATTGTTTTGGTCTGTTTCCATGGTAATTAATTAATTTTGGAGGTGATAATTCAAATATTGTGATAGACAGAACTCTGGAGCATCTGCAGTGAATGCATTTGAATTGTTGTTAGACCAGTGTTTCTCAAACTGTGGTCTGCGAGCTCCTTCCTGTGTTACATAGACAGATCTTCAGTTTGTGGGCTTGCCTAATTTGGAGTTCTTTTTATCCGCTTTTTGCCCTAATTTAAATCATTTTTGTTTAGAACTACATTAGGAAGAATGCAATCCACTTTTAGACCTGGTTTAGTCTTAGATTAGACCTTGAATAGTCCTGAAATCTGGAGCTACACGGTGCTGCCTGCATTTTTAAAACAAGAAAACTGAATAAAAATGATCGACAATAAGCAGCTATAGTGGAGATTTTGCCTCCAATCCGATTGCGAGTGAGTAAATTTAAGTAGTTTTTTATATTTTTGCAAGACATCCTAAATTTCTGTTTCTGTTTTTAATAATGTAGAGTAAACAATGAACAATTTGAGGAATAAAACTACATTTAACCACATGAAGCCACTGTAAATTGCATTAACTTACCATTTGTATAGGGAAAACCTGAGAAAAGTTGTTAATTAATTTTAAGGTGTGTTTTGGGTAATATAATTTTTTTTGGATGACCTAATGACCAGTGCCAGTAATGTCCCCTGGAGCCTGATAGATACATATTTAGACTTGGTATTATAATAATAAGATTACATTTAGTTTCAAAAGGAGCATTGTACTGTTAGAAAATGACCAAAACTAATCAGATAACCTTGATACAAAACTATAAAAAAATACTTTCTTTATGAAGATCCAGATGAGAGGAACAGAGGAGAGAGTGTAGTTAGTTGAGCACACTTAATAGCTCAGTTAAATTGTATGTGCATACTTTGTTTACTGGCAGCCTATTTGGCTCAGTAAAGGCTCTGATTAACAAGTAGTGAGTGTTCCCAACTACACATTATCACAAACAAACGTGACCAAGGAGCAGAGGGGAGGGTCAGATGATGTAGAGGATACACATGAGAGGGTCAGGGGAGCGGCAGTACTTAATGCCTTAATCTAGAGCACACATAATTGCACGAGCTAAGTTATATAAGCACACTTGGTTTACTGGCAGTCTGTTTGGCTCAGTGAAGGCTTTAATTAGCGAATAATTGCTGACCGGCCCACACCTACACATTATCCCAAACAAATGTGACTGAGCTCTCACCTCTCCACCTCTCTGTGCTTGTACTGCATAAAAGAATCAATAATAGAGCAGTCAGTCGAGAGTCAAAAGTTCCATTACCTCACCTATTAACCCAATGGCCTGTTTAGCAAAGGAAATCAGAACAAATAAATGAATGTTTGAAGTCAATAAGAGAAGACTAAAATCTGAACTTTTAAGATCTTATTATGTTTTATGTAAAATTGACTCTTGTGAGCTTTTAGTCATGTTATAATGTTATTACCTCTTCAAAAACAGCCCTGGAGTTGTATTTTTTTTCAATCACATGTGACTGAGTAACCCTTTATTATTACTCTGTCTACACCTCGTAATCTCAAAATGCTCCGTTCCACCTTGTGATGTCATTGGGCGGTATAGTTTTCAGATACATGTAAGTTAAATTCAGTAGAGAAACACTAAACTGTTCATCTGAGATGTGAGAAATAGATGTTATTTATACGGTGGTGACCAATGAGCTCTTTTGTTTCAGACAGAGGACAGAGGAAGTGGGGACCAGAGTGATATCAATCTGAATAAAAATACAGAGAGAGTCACTCGGGATTTACCAGGCAAAATGCTGGATATAGTTGTAATCTAATCATTATTTGATGTGTTTTGTGTTGTGCTTTTCTCTGTTGCAGTTGTAAACATGTCAGGTGCATTTTTGGAAGACCAGTTTCGGTGCAGTATTTGCCTGGACATCTTTAAGAACCCAGTGTCCATCCCATGTGGACATAACTTCTGCCTGGGATGCGTCAGGCGCTTCTGGGACACGAGATCCAAAGCTGAGTGTCCACTGTGCAAAGAGACCTTCAAGAACCGTCCAGACCTGCGTGTCAACGTGGTGCTCAGAGACTGTGCGAATGAGTTCAGAAGGTCTCACCAACGTACACTTTAAATAATGTTTTAAAGGGTTTATATTACGCTATTTGATCCATGTTATAATGTTTCCTCATTACAAACAGACCTGGAGTTGTGTTTTGTTTCATTCAAGCATGTTTAACGCACAAATCCTTCATATCTAGGCCAAGTTTTTCTCTCAAACATAAATCTTCTACTCTGCCACATGTAAATACAGGAAGTGCTCCACTGTGTTTATAAAATCCATACACCTTGACTAAAATTATTTGGATGATGTCAGACTTGGAATGTCCAGATTGAACTAAACAACAGAACTAAAGAACAGAGCATTTTAAGCTTTGGAGATGTAAACAGACTAATTATAAAGGATTACTCAAACATGTGTGAATGAAACAAAACACAACAGTTATGCTTTTAATTGATTTGAACATCATTAACATAGATCAGAAAATAGAGTAATATGAGCCTTTTAATATAGAAAGTACTTGTGCCTCCATAGTATGAACAAAATCTAGGAAACTGCAAATTGGCAGAGAACTGACTGATATTTTCACACACAGGATATCTAAACCCAGGGTCAAACCCAACCCTACTCCCCCTCCACGTCGCCATGTCCCAAAGCAGATCTCCAAATCGGATGATGTTTTCTGTGATATGTGCGTGAAGGAGGGAGTGAGTGACCGGACACAGGCTCTGAAGTCCTGCTTGGTGTGCAGAGAATCGTACTGTGAGCTTCACCTGGGCCCTCACCTGAGAGACCCTGTCCTGACCCGCCACATGCTGACTGACCCGGGCACCTTCACCTCCAGCCACACCTGCCGCAAACACAATCACCTGCTCCACATGTTCTGCCAGAGGGAACATCTGCTCGTGTGCCCCAAGTGCACCAAGCACGATCACAAGTACCATGAGGTGGTGCCCATCGACGTGGAGAGCCGCCGTGTCAGGGTGAGCATTTAAACTCTAGAACTAAGGCCCATGTGCTGTTAGCATGCTTGTTGTTGTTGGGAGTCTCTGAATTCTCACCATTTCATCTGGGGGTGGGGCTGAAGGCCAATGCATATGGAGGCGCTTTGACATGTGGCAAAATTGCCGCCTCTGATGTCAGTCAAAGCTAACTAATTGGTGTGTGCTGTATGCAAGGAGTTCATTTCATAAGCAGCAGATGTAATTACAACAAATATTTAGGTTCAGTGACATTTTGTAATCTGTGATCTTTATTGATACTTTATTGATTTCCTTCTGGATCAATAATATCAGTGATATCAACAGTGTTTTGCATAACTTTGTTTGGGGGGAAATGGTGCCACTGATGTATAAACAGAAAGTAAAAGAAAAGCTAGATGTCTTTTTGTTATAATTAATTCCCATGGCAAAGGAGTGGTTCACTGCTGTTGAATACAGGAATTTTACATCATATGGTGCAGCAGAACTTCCAGAGAAAACTTTTCAAGATCTTCCAGAGGAAATACTTAGAGGGAATGAACCATTTCATCACAAATGGACTTTTCTACAAGGAGTATCTGTTAAAAAAAAAAGAATCATTCTGAACATTCCATGCCCATGCCAAACACATCACTGGAGTAGACTGTCTGACCAGTTAATTTTCATAGCAGTTCCAAAGCTGCTGCAGGACTCCCTAAAAACTCTGCATTATGAACAGGTACTTAATGTTCTATTGCAACCATGGCAACAACATGAGACAACCGGACAAGCAGAGAAGAGGATTGGTTCTTTGCAGAGGACGTTCTATCAACTATTGCAGTCTTTGTGATTTGATAACTGCATCAGCTGTTGCTGTTGATTTGTTTGAAACTTATTGTGTGGCCCTATCTTATGGACTAAAGTCATATTTAATATGACCTTTTTCAGAATGAAATGAAGAAAGCTGAGGCAGACTTTCATCACATGATCCAGGCTCGAACAAAGAAGATTCAGGAAATCAAGAACAGCTTGGACGTGAGCAGAGTGAGTAATGTTTAGAGATACTTAAAGGTGCACTGTGTGACTTTTTATTGGTTTTACCTGAAATATGCCATAAAGCTGATGTATTTTGCATCTGTTGAATTACAGGTGCATATACAAGTTGTTGTTTACTGTTTAATAATGTTAATTTTTCTTTGTGAATGATTTCCAGAAACAAAAAGAAGAGGAGTTGCAGAGGACTCTGCAGGTTTACTCCACAGTGAAATCGGCCATAGAGAGCCACCAGGGGGCGCTGATCATGGAGTGCGAGTCCAAACAGGAGGAGTTGGCAAGAAGGGCCCAGGATCTGCAGAAGGAACTGAACCAAGAAGTGAACGAGATCCAGAGACGACGCGGAGAAATGCACCAACTGGAGCTTGTCGATGACCCCCTACATCTTATTCAGGTATGGGTTAAGTCAGATGCCCTCCCTGTGTCTCCATGGGATCTTATAGTGTGAAAAAGCTACTAACCCTGTAGTTTAGACCTCTACAAACACATCCTGAAATGTCCCTGTGTTTGTTTGAGATCTGATCTTTCTGGTGTAGGGTGCACCACCTGCTTCTCTCCATGGAGATGTTATTGGTTTGACTGGAATGTTCCACAGTATCTTATTACTCTTACCGTGGATCTCCATGGAAATAAGCAGGCAGCACCATTAGGCCAGGTCAGATCTGTGGAGAGGCCAGGTCAGATCTGTGGAGAAGCGAACTCACTCACACTACCTATTTTAAAGAGTTTTTATTCTCCACGAACCAGGAAGAACAGCCGATGTACTGTTAACTAGAATGTGTTAAGTACAGGACTTTAAACCAGGAGCAACTTGACTAAAATTCCCATCTCACTTGTTCCAGAGTTTTCCGGCGCTCATGGTCCCCACTTTCACTAACGACTTGTCCCAAATGAAGCTTCAGCCGAGCTCCTCCATCAGTGCTGTGAGGAATGCCTTCTCCAAGATGGTGGACTTCTGCCTGGAGCTCCAGAAACAGCTGACTGCAGAGGGTAAGAGAACATGTCAATCAAACTATTAAATATATTACATAATAAAACAAGTCATTAACAGTTGGTCTTTTTCCATTGTAGAAGTCAGCATGATGACCCAGTATGCAGGTATGTCAGTCATATGATTATTATGTGTCATTTCTTGGAAAGAGACAGTTAAAGTGAGATACATGTACAATGCTCTCTGAAAATGAACTTATCTAAGTTTTGTAAAAGGAAACAAATATGTCTGAGCTTTTTTAGATACTTCTTTTCGGTGTGCACCTGCTGAGGTTTAGTGGGCAAAACTTAGTGCATAGGTGTATATCAGCTAAGGGACCAATAAGAATATAACAAAAATAAGGCAGACAGTAAATAAAAAACATGCTGTGGTGGTGAGGTCCTTCCCATGGATTTTTTGATAAAATAAATGTATTTTCTTGTAATCTAGGTAAATCAAATTTTTAACAATCTGATATAGAACTTATAGTTTCATATATTCAAGAATTGCAACCTTCATGATTTGATACTTCATGTTGTGATTAACCTTGTAGCTCTAATTCACACTATTTATTTTTAATTTTTAATTTCAAGATTAAAATTTTCCCTTTTTTTTCTTTAGTGGACGTGACCCTTGACCCTGTCACCGCAGCTGGGTGGCTCATCCTGTCTGCAGATGGAAAAAAGGTACACGCGACAGTAATATTTTTCTTATTATAACTTTTAATCACACTTTAATTACACCTTCCATTCTATGAACCAACACCTAGAAATGCAAGCCTCGCCTTCATCTTGACAAACTACTTAAATCATAATTGTTATAATGCTATGTTCTTAATATGATTCTAAAGTGTACAATCATAAACTATCCAACAAATCGTGTATCACAATCCTTGTGTGTCTGTTTAGACTTCTACAAACATGTTCTGAAATGAGTGGGATTCTTGGATTAGTCTAAAGTTCACATTTCAGTCTCTCTCAGATGTGACTGTTCCTGGACATGTCTATAACCATTGTCTGATAGTTCAATGCTTTAATTTTATTCATATTATTTCGTGGTTGATGTGTAGGTGAGCGTGAGCCTCCAGCAGAGACGCAGTTCTCTCTATGACGATCCAAAAAGGTTCGACTCCTGTGTCTCAGTCTTGGGCAAACAGAGCTTCACCACAGGGAGACACTACTGGGTGGTGCAGGTAAACAAAAGTGTTTTTATATAGTTCTTATTAAATCTTTCTAACTGATCAAAAATGGTTCAGTTGATTGTATGTGCTTGTGGTTACAGAAGCAAAGTTGTGAAGCTAGTTTTCGGACTTCTGTGAAAAAACAATTATCATTTTGAATTGAATTTCCAAAGCAGTTCCATTGTGATGCTCTGGGACTCCCTAAAAACTTGGTGCTTCGTCCCAGGGTGCAACCACGGCAACCCACTTTGAAACCATAGACTGTTTATCTAAATGGACTTTGCTAACCTGCTACCCACAGCGTTCCAAATAGGAAGTGGGCATGGGTTCTATCAACTCCAATTCACTTTGTATTGAAAAACTGTTGCCCGTTTCTCTGTAACTGCTTCACTGAGCCTTGTCATTTTGGTCTTAAAATGTTTGGGTTAACACACTCTATGTGATCCTGGTGTTTTTATTTTGCAACTTTAACTGTAAATTAAAATGTGAAGATTAATAGCAAACAAAAGAAGTGCCTTCTTTTGCCAAAGTCACTCCCGGTAGTGTTAACAACAGGTTTGATTGACAGTGTTAATAGATGAAGGGGTGTTACCTTCAACATCTTCGCTCCAGATTGGCTCTTTGGTTGCTATGATACTCGTGGTCGAAATTCTTATTTTCCCTAACACTTTTCCCTGTGTTCTGTTTCAGGTGGGCGAAAAAACCGACTGGGACCTGGGCATCGCTAAAGAGTCGATAAATCGTAAGGGAGCGATCACAGTGCGTCCTGACTGTGGTTTCTGGGCCATCTGTCGCCGTAAGGGCGGCTGTTTGAGCGCATGCACTAGCCCCTCTGTGCCCATCCCTCTCCTCGACACCCCCCAGAGCATCGCCATCTTCCTCGACTACGAACAAGACGAGGTCTCCTTCTATGACGCAGAGAACAAAGTGCACATCTACACCTTCAGCGAGTGTGGTTTCAACGAGCCGCTATATCCATACTTCAATCCCTGTCTCCTTGAAAACGGGAAGAATGCCGGGCCCCTGATCATTGTCCCCGTGGAGACAGTGATCACAGGTGGCAAGGTCATATTATGAAAAGTTGTGCCCTTTTAAAGAGGTCACCAGTAATGGGACGATGAATTGTATTCAATTCACAGAATACTCAACTGATACATTGCAATGACATCATGCTGGCGTTGTTCTACATGTATCTCTAATGGTGGAATGTTCAGCAGTTACCGTGGCTGTTGTAGTTTCAGTTATGTCAGTTCTATTAGGTCAGACTGCGTGAAAATGAAGCTCAGATTCAAGTCTCACTTGGAGTAATAGAGCTCCAGACAGAACAGAGCCTTAAGTTAGCATCACACCCCAAGGGAATGTTGATGACATGAGTAGCAGTAGTTTGAGGGCTTACCTGTGTAAAGTGTGTTTTGTAACATACACTAGCTGTTACATGGTCCAAGCAGAGTCATGTGTTCTGAATACTTTCACATTAAGTCATATTGTATTATAGTGTAAAAATATGCATTTATTTATCACTGATTATAGAAGGAAAAATGTACAAGTTGTTTTTATTTTAATTGTTTGTTATTCTTTTTTTTATTTTTTATTTTTATGAGGCATTGAAGGAGTGGACACACTTTACAAGGCCAATGTTATAACATGGCTAAGAGATCAGTACTCCATGAGCATCACCGTAGCAACGGGTAAACAAACAAACTACTGTTAGGAGGGACTAGCTTCAACTAAAACAGCAATAACTAACACTTTGAACATCCACAGACAATTAAAAAGTTTGTGAACTATTTTCATTTGGTGGGAAACTTTGATTTATTTTTAATTCCAAATGCACCCTTGTCTCTCGTATTGTCAATGAATCCTCAGAACAACAGAAGCTAGAGTCACTGCGGCTCCTGCAGGCTAAAAATATCTGTTATTATTGTGTAGTTTTGTAAATATGCATGTTTAGTTTCTTTATTTGGGTTATTGCATGTCTCTATGTACATATATTTCTACTGTTTTACTCATGATTGTGAAGGATACAAAGAATTTGCTGTGAAACATTAAGTGACTGTTACATGTTGGACACAGTCAAAATCATATATATATATATATATATATATATATATATATATATATATATATATATATATATATATATATATATATATATAGATATATAAGATTTGAGAAAACATTAAAAAGTAAAAAAATAAAAAAAAATTCTCTGTTTTGCCATTTTTTAGATTTCAAATTTTAGTTCCTGGAATTTATGACTTCCTGTTACTGGGCCAAAACGTCTGTAATGTACACAGAAATCCCCATTTAACAAATAAAATGGTAAGAAAACCCTTTTAGTTTTTGATATTATGTTTAAAGTAGAGCCCGACCGATATGGATTTTGCTGTGGCCGATATGAAACCGATATAATGGGAGTTGAACCAGGTCTAAACCAGGACTGAAAAAGGACTAAACCGGGACTTATTTATTTTATGCTAAACTACAGCCACATATGCTCGTTTTTTTTGTTTTTTTTTTATCCTACGTACACGCAAATTTCTCAAAGTTTCGTTTTCAGCCGCTGCCGCTGTCAAACCACGAATCTGCACGCGACATGAAGAGAAAAAAAGTGAGAGAAAGAGAAAACACGGCTCCCAGTAAGGATCAGGCTCCCGTCGTTCCCTTCAAAGAGCCGGATCTAAGAGTCATTTCGTTCGCGACGGACCCATAACTAGTAAAGAAAGTAGCGCTATTAGCCTTTAGCCGTAAATACGTGCGCGCCGCAGTAATTAATTATATGCGCAAATGTCATAATTCACACGTCTATTCACAGCTCATTTACATATCAGTGCAGGTCCAGTAGCAAATATACGGCCAATATAGTCACTTTAGAACAGACCAATAGAAAACAGTCTGTTTATGTGCTGGAGCTACAGCAGCTAACCCATAACAAATGACAAAAACTAGCTTCAAAGTCGACATATTTCCAACACTCACCGCTCATACAGGCTCCTCCTCACATCACAAGTCTGCACTAATAAATGTCCTTTTAATTCAGACTCAAACCGATTGTCCGTAAAAAGAATATAATCTCAGTGTTTGGATCTGTGCCTGCAGGTGTAAACAAACACAGGTGAGTGACTCGACTCTGTGGTGTGTTCAGGGACAGTACGGACACACACAGACAAATGACTCCGTAGATAAATACTGATGTGGAGCCACATATTAGGACAATTCTCTGTCTGTAAATTGGATTAAATGAACATAATGTAGAGAGTCTAAGCTTTATAACGAGGTATCAGCAAGCATATCGGCCAATAGCCGCTATGCCTCCAGTTGCCCCTATCGGCTGATAATATCGACCAACCGATATATCGGTGGGGCTCTAGTATCAGAAAAATCTGTTTCTTGTGTGTAAATTTTCCTGAAATTTTGGACAGAATTCTCCCAAACGTGAACTCCTGTCATTTTCAACATATTTTTAAACTTTTCTTCACAAACTGCTTTTTGATTTGTGTAAAACTATAATTTATATTCGCCGAATGTTATGTAAGTCAAAATTTGCATGATAAAAACTTGTCATACGCACTTGTCTAATCCTGACCTCAAAAATTCAAAATATTCAAAATAAACCACAAACACACATTTTTACATTTATTTTACATTCTCCACATTATCATCTATTTATATCAGTGTTTTAAATGTTTAAATAGTCAGCTGTTCATATTCAAAAACACATCTTTAATCCTAAATCAACAATATGGTGCAAAGTTTGTAAAGTTTGGATGGTCGTGCTTCATGACCGTGACCGAATGTAAAGAAAGAGACTGCTGCTGTTTCATAAGAAGGTATTTACGCTACAGTGCAGGTGCCATTCTGATAAAAACAAACATAAAATAAAATCAATGTTGGCGACGTGATGAGTGAAAAAGTTCTTGTCCTATTTCGGTGTGTTTGTCAGTCACCATTTCCAGAATAAAGTCTGTAAAAACTGAAATGCCTTATCCCGTGCAAATGTAAAAAACTCAGACGTCGTGGGGTTAATTTAAATTTTACAGACTTAAAACTAATCCCGTGGAATCCCGGGCTTTAGTCTCTGAATGCAAACGTCTGTTATTGTTCCATTATACAGTACCAGTCAAAAGTTTGGACTCACCCTCTCATTCAGTGTTTTTGTTTACTACTTTATACGTTTTATATGCATACAGAAGATATCAAATATGAAGTAAGATGTATGGAATTACATAGTAAAGAAAAGAAAGTTAAATTAAAAACAATATATATTTTAAAACCAAATCCTCAAATTACCCACCTTTTGCTTTGTCAAAAAACATTTACTAGAGTTTAATCCCATATATCTTGCTTCATATATTTCATGTCTTCTGTATAAATGTAGAAAGTAGAAAGAAAAAAGAAAATTTCACTGGTATTGTAGATTAAGGGTAAAAAACACACCAAGGAACTGTGAGAAATAAATTTTTGAAACATGATGACTCATTTACTCATTAAAAATTATTGTCAGGACTATAGACTCTAACACACAGACAGACTAAAATAGCTTGAGGAAAGGAAAATTGGAGTAAAATTTAGTTTCGAGTTAGCAAGTGTTTAGGTTAAAAGAACTAAATGTATCCTGCTCTTTTACAATTTTATTTAATCCAAGAGAACCACATCTGAACCTGTGTTGCCACTGGCAACACAGGTTCACATGTGGTAACAGGTTAACGTTCTGGCAACTTGCTAGAGCTTTAACCTGCAGGTAGAGAACACATCCTGATTTGTCTCATTCTCAGTACTGTATTTTCCAGACTATAAATCGGTCTGGAGTATAAGTCGCACCAGCCAGAAAATACGTAATGAAGAAGAAAACAAACATATATAAGTCGCACTGGACTATAAGTCACACTTTTTGGGAGAAATTTATTTTATAAAATCAGAGACCAGGAACCGACATTTCACTTTGAAATTCAAGTTCTAGTAATAACAACAGAGAACAACAGACTGTTAATGTCACATATGAACAGTTCTTCAGATAAATACAGCATAAACAACAGAACAGAACAAGTTTACCAAACTCTCCATCTCACTCCAAATCACTAAATCTATTGAATTCCTCATCCTCTGTGTCACTTCTGAGCAACTCCACGACCTTCGGAGGTAAATGAAGCGCCACTTCCTCTTCTGTGTAGCTGTCATCAGATTCAGCATCAGTTCCAGTTAGAATTATTCCGGCCTCTCTGAATCCTGATAGGATGGTGTTGATTGTCTTTAGGTTTGTTTAAATTTGAAACTGTCAGTGCTACAGAAGTAATGGTGAAATTGACTAACATGATACCAAACAGGACAGTGGCTCTCTCTTGCAAAGTGACAGTGGTACAGGAGTACACAAACCTAGAGCGCCCTCTCGTGGCTGTCAGTGTGAAAATTTTAACATACAAGTCACACCGGAGTGCTTATAGTTAGAAAAATATGGTATGTGGACAGACAAGGCATCATGTGAATGCACAGAACCTCCAAAATTCCCTCACTGATCCATGATTGGCTGTAGGAAAGGTGCTGGGTTTAGGTAATGACCATTCAGATCAGAGAGAAACATTTTAGTTTTAAACACATTGGATTTCACCACTGAAACAAATAAGAGACTCATGTGTGGCTCATTCTGCTTTCTGACTGAATAATCGTCTTGAACCAAAACATCATATTATGACATAAACAACTCAGCATCAGGTCCAATGTTTTTGTAATTCAGAATAAATAAGTATTACAGTAGTTATCAGTAAAAGCTGTATTTGATTTGAGCATGTTTATCTCGTGTTTGGAGCCCCCTAGTGGTAAAAAACAGGTTGAAACTTCATACATTTTTCAACAGTAATACAGTAACATAAATACTTTTAAAAAACTCTTTTAACACTTTAACAGCCTAGTTTGTTGGATTTATAGGTGCTGAAATGTACTTCTGAATTTGGGGGAATTGTGCATGTAGTTACATTTGTGTGTGCCAGACAGCAGAGGGAGCAATTGTATTGAAAGAAATAATAATAGATACCAGTCAGACACAGTCCTCCTTTTTTAAGTACAGGTTGCATTGTACCATCTTATAGTCTACTTATAATGTTATACTTACTATTTTTATTTTATTTAACCTTTACTTTACCAGGAAATATCCCATTAAAACACATAGTTATAACACACATACAAACAAGAATAAGATAACATGAGGACTACAGATTACTGAAGCAGTCTGAGAGGCTTTCTTCCTAAACTCCGGAGTACGAGTCACCATTTCTCTGTGTGAGTAAAGTGCAACTGTAGGGAGTCAGGAGTGTGAGCATAACCTTGTAAATAAAATAATGTGCCTCTGCCCTCTAGTGGATAGTGGAGGCTATTACACTCATAAGTACAGTCACAATCACGGCTCTGCGTTTTGTTACAAACCTCAATAAAACATGAGAAGCAAAACAGATAAAATAAATATTATTACGGAAGAAAAGAATATGTTTTAATTTCTTCACCAGAAACTACACTATGTGTGGTTTAAAGTGAACTGCTTTACTCTTCAATACTCTAGAATAACCTTAAGTTGTACCTTTTATTTTTAAATGTTTTTGTACAGTTGTGATTGTCAATAGAAAGCCTCTAATATCTGCTGGTGCACTGAGGAGTCAAGCAGTGTCAATGAGGCTAAAACAATAATTTCAAAGTCTGTCAATTCCAGTATTGAAATGATCCAAATGATTCTAGTGAAGGTGTATGGAGTTTAAAAACACAGTGGAGCACTTTCTATATTACCACATGACATCACAAGGTGGAACAGAGGGTTTTCTGTTTGAGAAAGAAACTCAGGCTAAATATGCAGTGTGTGTGTGTTAAACTTGTGGGAATGAAGCAAAACACAATTCCAGGTCTGTTTCTGATGAATTGACACTTTTTCTTAGTTTCTTCATCTAGCACAAGAATTTGAAGTCTTTTTGATCTACTAACTCTGCTGGCAGCAACATAGAATTGGCCATGGCTGAAGAAATCTCTCATGCAGAAAACT